TGTAGGGCGCACTGGAATGTAAGCCGGCCGACTCCCTGCGTTCAGGTGCGGGAGGGGGTGTGGAGCTGTATTGAAGTCAATGGCATCGCCCACATTGCGATCGCCCGCATTCGGAACGCAGGCACATTAGTGCCTGCATTCCGGTCCAGTGCGATCTGCAAAAATAGTGCTCGCAGAATTTTTGTGGATCAAACTGGACTGGAACACAGGCACTAATGCAGGCGATCGCACTGTGGGCGAGGGGCCTGCCTGCGGAGCCTGGCTGCGGTGCCATTGACTTCAATGCACCGCCATGCCCCTGAACGCAGGTGTTTTTTTTCGTTGGTAGATCTCAATGAGCTTGTCATTTGAAAAGTAGATCTCCAGACGAAAAATAGTGGGCGCCCCTGGTGTAGATGACACTCAAAGGGTTTTCATAGGTGAGATCACACAGTTCAGTAGTAAAGAACGCAGAGCATATTTGCCCCTCAAGGGCTTGATATGCTATTAATGATTTGTTTATGGGAATGTGTTTTATTTAAGTGCAATGTATTAAATACTTTCCTCACCTCTTTGAAACAGTCACAGGTCACTCACTGTTGTAATCACCTGCTGAGTGTTCTTTATCCACAAACTGCCTCCAATACCAGCTCCTGCTCCCTCCTTCACCTTCCTCCGTTGCCAGGCAGTGCACAAGTGGTCATTCCACCCGAGGCATATGACCCCCCCTGCCGCTCCCAGCCCCGACTGTGGTCATGCTACATGCTTCCTGGTTAGCTAACTCCACAGGGATCAATTGCTACTCCTAGTAATTTCAGTACCACAATTGACCTATTAAACGTTTCTGTGTAGGTCCGTAGCCAAATGAGGCAACGGTCAGCAAGTGGCTGCATTCCTCAACAAGCAAATTGCATACTGTAGGGAGACTAGCCCTAAATTATTCTGGAGTGAGGGGATTTTTTATTTTTTTTTGAAAGCTACATAAAGAGAGGGAGGAGGTATGATGCAGATTAGTGAGGTAACAAAATGTTTCCACTGAAGAATGTGCAAGATTTCAGAATTGTGCTATGGCTCCCGGATAATAGCAAAATCTTTGATTCTTCAGATTAAACAGTGCAATATAATACAGAAGCTGTGCTTTCATAGCCTGGAGGGAAAGTGTTTAGAAGCCTGGTTAAAGGGAGGAGGAGGAACAGAAAGTGAGAGTGTTTAGAAGCTTGGTTAAGGGAGGAGGAGGAACAGAAAGTGAGAGTGTTTAGAAGCTTGGTTAAAGGGGGAGGAGGAACAGAAAGTTTGATACTTGAGCTGGCCGTACACTGTACAATTTGGCCGGTTCTTTATGAAATGGCCCCATCGCCACACTTTGATCAGAAAATGTTAAGACGAGCAGTGACGGCAGCCAAGCAGCTGCCGTCACTATTTAGGTATTCTGACAGCGGAACAACACTGCTGTCAGAATACAACAGCCCAGCGGGAGATTCCTCCATCCACACTGTTTAGTGTAAATGAAAGCAGCTGTTATTTTTCTTTAATTCAGTCTGCAGTTTGAATGGGGGAAAAAAACAAAGTGTATGGCCAGCTTAACACAGTTTTAGGAAGTGTGCTTTGATACAGGGGGTATACAATGGTCTGTCTACCTCTACAGTGCAACCAAAGCATGCCATCAGTTGCTAGAGAAGAGCACGCTGCTGCTTCTTGTCCCTCAGAAGGGGACTTCATGGGTGATGTGATGGTGAAAACTGTGTAAGCCAATGAAAAGCACTATGACATCATAAAGGGTTTTGTGCTCCTTGAAATAGGGGAAAAAATTAAAATAATTTGAAATTCATGTACAGGTCACGCTGTTTTCAATGGTTCAATATGCACAGATTCAAAATAGCCCCCTTTTCTGGGACTATTGTAAATGGAGACCAAATATATAATGTATGTCAATGGGAAGTGAGGGAGTTAGATTCAAAGCCTCTCTCATAACAAGGAATTGGTTCTAAAACCCAGTGGAAGTTAGGTTCCAAGCCCCTCTCATTGACATAAGTAACATTATACAGGTTCATTTTATTGAAAGCTTCTTATGTGAGCTCCTGCAGTAGCTTTAAATATAGTGTAGCTGTATTTTATTACTTATGTCCCAGAGTTTCCTCAAATTTGGCATAACTCCCTCGCTTTCCATTGACTTACATTATATACTGTGTTTCAATATACAGCCATTCCATCTCAAACCTAACCCCAGCATAAATTGAGCGCTACCTGTATTTAATTGTTTGCTTTTTTTATTATATATGCATAGCAACATCTTAAATAAATCCCGCTTTTCTATCACTGGTCTATCAGGGAGATGGAGTAGCTGCCCAACTTTACTCATGGAAGAGTCACCTCTATTCTCGATTGGCAGTCTCCATAAAATTGTAATGTCTTTCTATTGAATGCTGGTCACCAGATTTCCTAGTCCGCAAAAACCCAGCAAGTAAGGTCACTGGTATACAAGAGAAGATGGTGACTGACACCAGCTGCACCATTTTTCTACAGTAAAACAATGAAACATACCATGTGTAATTTTATCAAATCTGCAGTCCCTCTTTTAAACAGAAAGTGAGAGTGTTTAGAAGCTTGGTTAAAGGGGGAGGAGGAACAGAAAGTGAGAGTGTTTAGAAGCTTGGTTAAAGGGGGAGGAGGAACAGAAAGTTTGATACTTGAGCTGGCCGTACACTGTACAATTTGGCCGGTTCTTTATGAAATGGCCCCATCGCCACACTTTGATCAGAAAATGTTAAGACGAGCAGTGACGGCAGCCAAGCAGCTGCCGTCACTATTTAGGTATTCTGACAGCGGAACAACACTGCTGTCAGAATACAACAGCCCAGCGGGAGATTCCTCCATCCACACTGTTTAGTGTAAATGAAAGCAGCTGTTATTTTTCTTTAATTCAGTCTGCAGTTTGAATGGGGGAAAAAAACAAAGTGTATGGCCAGCTTAACACAGTTTTAGGAAGTGTGCTTTGATACAGGGGGTATACAATGGTCTGTCTACCTCTACAGTGCAACCAAAGCATGCCATCAGTTGCTAGAGAAGAGCACGCTGCTGCTTCTTGTCCCTCAGAAGGGGACTTCATGGGTGATGTGATGGTGAAAACTGTGTAAGCCAATGAAAAGCACTATGACATCATAAAGGGTTTTGTGCTCCTTGAAATAGGGGAAAAAATTAAAATAATTTGAAATTCATGTACAGGTCACGCTGTTTTCAATGGTTCAATATGCACAGATTCAAAATAGCCCCCTTTTCTGGGACTATTGTAAATGGAGACCAAATATATAATGTATGTCAATGGGAAGTGAGGGAGTTAGATTCAAAGCCTCTCTCATAACAAGGAATTGGTTCTAAAACCCAGTGGAAGTTAGGTTCCAAGCCCCTCTCATTGACATAAGTAACATTATACAGGTTCATTTTATTGAAAGCTTCTTATGTGAGCTCCTGCAGTAGCTTTAAATATAGTGTAGCTGTATTTTATTACTTATGTCCCAGAGTTTCCTCAAATTTGGCATAACTCCCTCGCTTTCCATTGACTTACATTATATACTGTGTTTCAATATACAGCCATTCCATCTCAAACCTAACCCCAGCATAAATTGAGCGCTACCTGTATTTAATTGTTTGCTTTTTTTATTATATATGCATAGCAACATCTTAAATAAATCCCGCTTTTCTATCACTGGTCTATCAGGGAGATGGAGTAGCTGCCCAACTTTACTCATGGAAGAGTCACCTCTATTCTCGATTGGCAGTCTCCATAAAATTGTAATGTCTTTCTATTGAATGCTGGTCACCAGATTTCCTAGTCCGCAAAAACCCAGCAAGTAAGGTCACTGGTATACAAGAGAAGATGGTGACTGACACCAGCTGCACCATTTTTCTACAGTAAAACAATGAAACATACCATGTGTAATTTTATCAAATCTGCAGTCCCTCTTTTTTAATGCCAATCAAGATAAGAAATAGACTTTGGTACAGGGAAAAAAATAAACTGAGCTGCAGCATCATTTAATGTTTCAAGGTAAAAGACATCTTTTACAGCATCATTGTAGCAATAAGTTACAGTGCGTTGCTAGTACACAATACAGTCCTCAATAATTGTACAAAGAAAGTCCCCTTTTTATCTTAGAAAGTCTGGAAGATCAATATAAATACTGCTCCAGAAAAAAAATGTGTTTACATCCTGGACTCCAATGTTATTACAATGTTCTCTTCTATAATCATCTGTAAAAACCTTGTGTTAACGTTGCAGTGGCTCTAGTTTTCTTAGCTTCAGTGGTTCATTAGATGTGAATGCAGCTTGATTTTGTTGGAAATCCTCTGTGTCTGGGGACTGGAACATTACCCGTCCTCTGTGGTTGAAGACATAAAATGAGGGATGGTTCCTTAGCGTATCAAATGTCCTTTGAAGTGGGGTAGAGGGAAAGAAAAAAAAAAATCAAAGTTATTATGTTTGCAGATATTTTACCGTTCAGCATGCATGTTATTTCTACTGCATACACCCCACAACTCGCATATAAATGAGAAATAATTGACTAATTGTAAAGAAAAGTGCTAAGCATCCACCATTATCAAATGAAACTCATTTATATCCCATCAGGGAGATCCTTGCACTACAAAGCTGTTGAGAGATTGTAACATGCCTGGTTTAAGAACAGTCTGTACTGCTTCATTGTAAACAGAATCAAATATTAATTTTCCAACTTTTATTCTCAAGTGGAGGTGAGAATCCGAGATTGTACTTAAAGTGGAGGTAAAGTCTTCAAAAACTGCTCACAGACCGGCTTTCTATGATAGGAAAGACTGTGCAAATCTCTTCTGCCATAGCTTTTTTTTCTGTACACTAGGCTGGGTCAGCAGGGCCCGGCCTATCAAGCAGCTGAAAAATTAGAACCCAGAATACGACCGGGACGGAGATGGAAGCATTGGCGAGGGAGGAGAGCCTGGACATCGCAGCACTGGAAGGCATTGCTCTGGCAGGTAAGACTACTATAATGTGCCAATATGCTGTATGACTCCAGGCCCCCTATACATAAACATTTATCACACATAGGTTTTGCTTCCACGTTAATAGGCAATGCAGACAGTTCTTATTGTAAATATGCTGATAAACAGTATTCATGATTTTGACCATTTGCAGTTTTCGGGCTACACATGTAAGGAAACACAGATTATGACATAATACTGCTAATGAAACGCTTGTCACCTTGCCCATTCAAACCAAGTAACCGTGTGTGTAAAGCCTACCCCTCCAGCAATCCCCCCCCTCCCCACTGCTTCATCTGTGGTGGACAGTGCAAAATACCGAGTGCTTCCAGGTATATGACCCTCCTCCCATGTTGTAGTGCTTAGGTCCAGCAGCAAAAGCAATTGGTCACAAAATGGAGGGGGTGGCGTTACCACTCCTTCCCTCGAAGCAGCGGAAACCAGGTATTCTGGTGGCGGCTGCAATGGAAGAAAGGGCAGCGTGGAGAGCTTGAGAAGTATACAGTGGTCAGGAGATGGGCTTCACACAGACATCCTGAATGGACAATGTGACAATAGGCTACTTCACAAAGCTCCAAAAAGACATCAACAGGCCCCGGGATGTCGACACTTATTCATTCAGAAGGGTTTGGTGCTCTTGTTGTATGTTTTATACTTTTAATTCACAAAGATGGTACACCAGGATAAGGATACTTCTTTTCAAAAAAGGCGAGTGTTAGTCAGCCGAGGCCAATGAGATCTGAGAGTTAGTCACATGACTAAATTAATTAGAGAGCCTTATCCTTGAAGCTTTGTGAAGTGAGCCTAATGTCTCCCAAGTATATAAATCATCAGAACCTAATGGAATGTAGAATTATATCACTAAGCAAACATCAGCATCCGATGCTCCTGTAGGCCTAGTAGATATTCACGCAAACTGCCCAAAACCAATCTTATCCCAGCAGTGAGCTGTATGTTATTTTTTTCATCAATCTAACGAATGAAATAAAAACGTCATACTTATTCCTTAATTCTGAAGTGGCATCCATGTCTTTAAACTCTCCAGAAATGTGAACTATGCCGTAGCAGGCCACTACAAACGCCAACAAGGTTTGTAGAACTATCTGCAAGCAACAGAAAGAAGATGTGAAGGATCATTGTTATAATCTGGAAATAATACAAGAGCGGTCAGTGACATTTCATTTCAGAGAGAACACCAAGAGGAACCCCTCAATATTCTGTATATTTAAGAACTCCCCTGCTTAAAAGAAATACTGTACATTCTAGTACTCAGATGAACAACTGCATCATTTCCCAGATGTAAAATCAGGGCACACATGTATTACATTGGAGTTCTGGACTTTTGACAACGCACGTTAGCTTGTGACCCCCGTCCCCACCCCTTTGTAGCATTGTGTCATCCACTAGTAAAATGTGGTACGGTGACTTTTTTTTTTTTAAATATGGCTCTGATCTGCACCAACATGAGCTTTTACCCCCAAACAACCAGATTCCTTAGTTCAGCTGAAAGGATAAATCTAACTGCTTGCTTCGGGAAACTGTTCCATTTTTGATTGGATTCCTATAAATCAGCCCATTAAGTAACAAGCAGCCTGTTACAGACTTGCATCTACATTCCCATTATAGGATGTACACTATGCATTCCATAAACTGTCCCATAACATTATACATACCACATTATATAGTGCCAAGATTAAGCAGTGTTATTGTGCTGCCACATCCAGTGTCATTTTCTTTATTTCTACTGTTTCAGTTACACTGCATACCTATATAATTGCATTTCACTGTGTTATGCTGCATTTCTAACTACAAGTGTAAGATTAGCATTGTTACAGCCTAATCTGTGCATACATAGTATCTTCCATTTCACCCCTGCTGTTTTCTGTATATTGGTACAGTCTTCTGCTAAAACTTCCCAGTAATCCTTCTACTCTCTCCTTTCCACACCACCCTCTAAAAAGGTAATGGGGTCTGTGTTATCCTGTTAATGGCAAAGATAGGAATGTCTTTTCACTCTAAGAATGACAAGGAAATTACATCCTATGTATCGAGATGGTAAAAAAAAAAAATTACATTGAATTCTACTCCGAGTCAGACTTATCGAGTTGCACACTATCTGTGAATATCACCAAATCAGTAGGTTGTCATACTGCCGTACAGACGAGTCTCAGGAAGGTATGTGCAAATACATAAAGCGGTGGTTGTAACAGAATAGTTATATATAGTGCACATCAGTCCCTGCCCTCAAGGCATTTACAATCTAAGGTCCCGATCTCGCTTGCAATTCATCCCAGGCCGATTTAGACAGGAGCCAATTAACCTACCAGCGTGTCTTTGGAGTGTGGGAGGAAACCGGAGTGAATATACCGTGCTTTGTGCATTAAACATTAGCCCCAAGCAAAAAAAGTAAATGAAAAAACCCTCCTTTAACCCCTTCGTGACTGACGACGTACAGTGTACGTCGCCAGCATCGGGGCTGTTTAAACAGACTGCCGGTGACTTTTGCCGCCGGGACTCTGTTTAAACTTGTAGAGCCGACTGTCGGCTTTACAACAGAAGCGATCCTGGTGACTTACCTGTCGCCAGATCGAAGTCATGAAGGGGTTAATATGTCATTATTCAGAATAATGTTCTTTTAAACAGAATCCATTCTAGCGCACAGAGAAAATTCCTTAACAACTTTGCCTAAACCTTAAAAGACAGACTTGCAATGAAGTCCATTCTGGCAAATTATTTAGCATTTTGTACTATATACTTAATGACTATGATAGCAACACCAAGAGCTTGTTTACATTGCAGCATTTTCCAGTGCTTGGCAGGCAGTTCTGATCCTTTCCAAACACCCTGCTTACTCCAAAATGTGACCTGAGCCAAATGGCTCATTTAACATTCCACAATGTAGGGGACTGGAGTGTTGGGGTGGCCCAAACACTATCTGCAGCATTTGGACTTCAACTACCTTTTGTTTTCTAAGGCTTCTCCCAGATGCTACCCATAAAACACACAAAGCATTGGATTTTCTCTACACCTGGGGCACAGTGACAAAACACTAAATATTGCTAATGAGGCTCCTCATCAAAATAAAAATCTGTGGAAGCCATTACTGACCTTTTTTAAAAAAATATATTCTTGCTCATTAACTATTGGGAAATTTAGGAGGGAGCTGAATGCATTTATAGGTATAGGAAATCCTATTTACTTATAAGAGATTTCCAGATCTGCACTTAAGAGAACTATGGGATAAAAAATGTTTTACCCCATAGTTCTCTTAAGGGTCACAGGAGGGCATATTCTAACGTCCTCCCGTGACCCACAGCTCAGTACATAGCAAGCTATTGCTTACTATATACCGAGATCGCCGCAGCCGGGACGGATCACAACAATGCTGTCAAGATCCACCCAGTTGTGTGAGTGACAGCGGGCTCTGCCTATCTAGAGGCCAGCTGTGCCCGCCCCGGCTTGTTTCTCCACTCATCGCTGGAGGATCAGAGCGGGGAATCCCTGTGGGGGAGCGGTGACTGACAGTCACCGCTCTCTGCAGGGAGATGATTGAGAAGTGAGCGAGCGATGGTATGTGTTCGCTCACTTCCCGATCTATTGAGCCGACGTGTGAGTTTCATTGTCACACGTCGGCTCGAACTATGAGGTTGAGTGAAAAAAAATCACTCACCTCATAGTTCTCCTTTAATGAACTGAAAAATCAACAAACTGAAGCCAACTTACATCTATTGGTAACGTTTCATCTTCCTTTTCAGTCAACCGCATATAAGAACGATCTGGAAGCCAAAAAAAAAAGAGAGAATGTAATTAAATTCTGCAAAATTTATTAAATGCAGTAAATTCAGCAAAACAGTAGAATCTAAGACATTCAAGAACTAGTCATTTTAGATATACATACAAGCAGAGAGTTAAAAGATAAGAGTATTATTTATTAGATAACGCGTGTGTGTCAGTAAAATAGCGGTTGTATCTAGGCGTTTGTATAAATATGTCGTCAGATGCAGGATTATATTACGGCTGGAGAAGAAATCGAACGTCTTTTAAAGCTTCTATTTCATTCCATTGAGGCAGCCAATAAATGGTATTATTTTCATTCCGTATTTTCTCCTTTCATTGATGCCCAACACAGAACAATGCTGTGTACTATACACTAGCAAATGTGTGCCAATTCCTAACCAGAGTCATTTAGTGACTGGGTACATTTTCTGTTGTGTACTCACTTCGTTAGTAAGTAATATTTACTGTAAAAAAAAAAAAAAAAAAATCTTTATACATTTTTGTTATATAATTGGTGCAAAAAGAAGGTGGAAGCCTAACCATATAGGGAAGGAGGGTGAGCATAGCTAAAACTAAATGAGAATGGCCAGGGGAAGAGCGAGCACGGAGGGAAGGGAAGGCGAACGGGCCAGGGGAAGAGCGAGCACGGAGGGAAGGGAAGGCGAACGGACCAGGGGGAAGAGCGAGCACGGAGGGAAGGCGAACGGACCAGGGGAAGAGCGAACATGGGCAGAAGGGAGGGCGAACGACCAGGGGAAGAGCGAACATGGGCAGAAGGGAGGGCGAACGACCAGGGGAAGAGCGAACATGGGCAGAAGGGAGGGCGAACGACCAGGGGAAGAGCGAACATGGGCAGAAGGGAGGGCGAACGACCAGGGGAAGAGCGAACATGGGCAGAAGGGAGGGCGAACGACCAGGGGAAGAGCGAACATGGGCAGAAGGGAGGGCGAACGACCAGGGGAAGAGCGAACATGG